AGTTTATTGTGGATAGTACTTCATCTTAACATGAAACAAATACAACCTGAATTATTTTAATCATTAACAGGTCCCAACTCTCTGTGCTTCAGTACAGAACATACAGTAACTCATTTATTATTAACATGAGCTCAGTACATGGCTGTATTCTTCAAACTATTTCTTATACTTTATATCTTATTTTCATTCCATATGTTATTTATATTTTATATTTCTACTGCTATATTCTGTGTATGAGTTCAGTGAAAATTAATATGGTTATTAATATAGTTCTTAATGGTTACAGATGCTCTTACAAAGTGCATTTTTTTAAATTTGTTGACAGTTTGCTCAAATCTTAAGACACTACATCAACCATGTAACTTTAATGTCATCCTCTATAACCTACACAGCATATTAGGTTCAGTTCAGTTTATGTTACTGACGGATAATTACTACACAAAGTTTGTTTTTTAATGTCCACATTTAGGTGGAGTATAACATTCATCATAACGTCAGATAACCATATTTACAGTCTGTGGTTAACCACCGAGGTGAACCTTTAGCTTCTAACATGACACTAACTCATTTTCAACATCTTAACAACAAACATTTATAAACCATTGACCGTAAATAATGTAAATAATGAGCTACACAGTTAGCCGACTGGTTTACAAGCTAACGCTAAACAAGCTAGGTCCGTAAATATAAATACCGACACATGAGTATACAGTAAATATAACACTACTATATCACTTACCGAAGAAAACTGAAGCATCAACTTGTTGGATGGTCTGTTAACCGCACAGCAAGCCATGTATGTTGTCAGATATGTGTTAAACAAACTCTCCAAACAAAGTAAAAAAGAGGAGAAATCAGACGGATCAAGCTGTTAGCCTCCTGACCTGACAGACAGATGCAGCGTGCAGAGCTGTCAATCAAATCTGCCACAACCAAATATGGGCATAGTCGTTTTCCTTAATAGAATAAAATCCGATGAGTTATAAAAAAATTCACCCCCCTCACAGTGTGAGGAGAAGGGGCCGTCAACTTATCAGATATATCTCGTTTTTTGAACCAGGCTGTAAACATGTTGATTCCTGTGGTAAAAACGGGCTTTTTTGGCTGTGGGCTTATGGGACTTCCGGCGCTTCTGCAGCCAGCCTCAAGTGGAACCTCGAGGAACTGCAGTTTTTTGTACTTCCGCATAGGCTTCATTTTTCGAGATCGGAGGTTGCCCCTTGGTACGAAGCCATCTCCCCCCTTTCTTCTTCCCCCCCCTCTCTCTCTCTCTCTCACACACACACACACACACACACACACACACACACACACACACACACACCTACATTCACACCCCACACACACACACACACACACCTACATTCACACCCCTTCCACAAGCCTTTGCTTGATAATGTTTGTTGCTTAGATTAGTTTATAATACTTATTTGTTTAATTAAGTTCATTGATTTTGGATTGGTGTTGCTTTGTTTAAATAAATTCTGTTATAATTTAAGAGCAGTTGTTTGTGGTTACTGGTGTATTTGCATTGTGATATAAGCTGGGTGCGAAGGCTTTGTGTACGGATTTCATGCCTTCAATTTATTAAATATAGTTATTAATTATTAATAATATTAGTAATTAAATAACTAATTTGAGACTGATTTGAGTAATATTTTGGTTATATTTACCTGATTACAGGTTGGTGCCCCAAAACGAGATTAAACATAGTTTAATGATATTTTATTTATATTATTAATAATTAAGTATAATTATTAAAGAATATAACCAAAGTTGACTTGATACAACCCCAACAGTATATTGTTCTCCTCTCTTTTGTGGATGTTGTCATTCCATTGGATTACACATAGCATTGATATAAAGACAAATATTCTCATTATAGCGTCGTGTAGCGGACTCTGTTGCTTCAGCTGCTACTTCCGCATTGTTTATTTACGTCATGTCTTAGTACTCTCCTGATCATAATAATCCACCAAATCAGGTCCCCACCGTTCAAATCCAGTGAGAGATTTGATCCCAAACACAAAATATCCATGAAGATCCATGAAAATGGTCATTTCTTCATGCACACACTAAGAAGAAACATTTAAAGTAGAAGTGGAGAAAAAAAGATGCTTTAGAAATTACTATAGAGCTGTGTATTGTCCACTACCTCACAATTCAATTCCATATCGATTCGATTCGAGATAGATCAATATGCTTCAATATTCATTTAATAATACACACAGATGACAAGAATACCCATAAAACTCATCACAGTACCTTCTGATATTTGTTAAATAATTATGTGTACATTGTTTGTATAGGTTTAGAAACAAACTGACTCAGAAATATATTTTATCGTTGCATTATTCTTTAACAAACAAATAATAAAACATTTAAGTACAGTATGATCTAAAGGGCACATTGGTGCCAGAGCTGAATTTGCAGCAAAATCATAATAAAGAAAACAGTACTGTAATTTGATGGACAAAAACTATTATGTAAAGTGCACAATTGTGCCTGACCTGAATTCACAGCACCCACAGTGCCCCCCAGTGGAGAGGGGTGTCATTACAATGAAAACAATCGATTCAGGGAAATCCTGAGATGGATTTTTTTTCAGGATTTCCCTGAATCGATATTGAATTGGGAAAATAATAATTGCGATGCATTGATGAATCGATTTTTTTAACCAGCCCTAAATGATGAAACACACCATGTCCAAATAGCAGAGGCAAAAACACAAATGTACTTTTAGAATGACTTTTAGGAGTGTTGAGACAGTAGGCTATTTGTCACACAGAGAGAGAATGACACATATGTCTGTTTTCAAATGCAGTAATTATTTCCATAATCACGCCATCTACTACGTCACCGTGGGGGAATGTTCTAACACAGACCCAGTACGGTGCGGTCAAGGTCCCATGGAAATAGGGGAAGTTTTAGGTGGCTGTATCTGTACTATAATATCAGCCTTATATCTATTATCATTACTATAAATATTAAAGTGAATCTTAGAGCTTCTCAATTTCATACTTGATAATATACATACTTAGTTGTTACTGCTACACATACTTTTACCATACTTACTGACACTATAAATCTATCTTCATCATGTTGTTGTTGCTCGGCTTCTGCCTTTGTTTGCTCAACTTTCTGTCTGTTAAAAGGACTTTTTTCCATGCCATTGCTTTGCCAGTCCTAAGTCTATTACTGCCATGCACGAGTGGTGATAACTATGTGACTGCACACTTAATAAATATTGTCTATTAATACTGTCAATTTGATTTTGTATGTTTTTTCTGTCTTGCCATTATGGACCCCATGAAGAATAGTGTTTACTGAGGTAAAAATTAATGGGGATCCAATGTAGAATAAAATAATCACAAAGATGATACATCCTCCCAAAGGCATGTATTTTATTTTGTTGTATATTAGACACTTACAATCAGGTGTTGTGTATTTTCATAGAAATATTAATTATTTCTATGTTGCTCTTTATTTACCTGAGCTCGCTTAATAAACATCCAACAAGATGCAACATTATAAGAAGTCATAACTTAAGCTAGCATGGCAGAGGTCTGAATGAATAGGGAATGGCTAATATCATTAGCATGGGCAAAGTCATGTAGGCTATAGAAGATGAGTATCAAGTCAAAGACTTAAGACTTCACAAGGACTTGTGCACATCTCTGATATTAAGATGTGCAAAATTCTATCAGGTTTTTAAAATGATGGTGGGGCTCGAGCCCCCCCTGCTTAAATGGGCCAGATGCATCTAGATGTGAATAGGTCTTTCATCCCATCTGCCATCAGACTGTTTAATCAGACTTTTTAACAGCATCACCACCTCATGCTACACACTGTTTGTTTTTTTAATAACAATAACTCTTTCCAGTGTAGTTACTGTGTTATTTTCTATTACTGTATTTTTTTATTTAACTGATGTAAATATGTTGATTTGATTTTTAGCTGCTGCTGTAATGCACAAATTTCCCCCACGGGGGATCAATAAAGTTTATCTTTATTTTTATATCTTTGAGAGGGATTTTCCATGCTCACCTTATTGTTATCATTAATTATTGTCTGCTAAAGTCATTATTAAGCTACAGTATAAAGACAGTCATACTTGAGTAGTCACTAGGGCTGGGCGATATGTCCTCAAATCAATATCACCATTCATTGAATTGATTATGATTAATGAACAATGATTTTGTTAGTATATATGGGATAATGAGAACATGAAAATGATTCATATTAATTAACAACATTATTAAGCAGAAAATAAACCATTGAGGTTTAAGATGTCTGTTTTCAAGGGTTAGGGTCAAGTCTGTAACAAAAATCAAGAAAGCATTGAAATACTGAGACAGAATTAAAGCTGTTAAAATACTTCAAAGTTAGGATATGACAAGAGAAGAAAGGAGATGAGCAAAAAGACATACTCACCGAATACGGTAGAAAGATAGTTAAAAATACAACTAGCTGGGGGGGGGGGGCAAGCCAAGATATAAACAAGAAATGATTCATTTCAAATCACCTGTATTATTAATTTGGTGATTATTTCCCAAAGCTGACTTCATCTTCACATGAATCAACTGGACGCTATTCCTCCCACGCCATGTCAAATTCAACATGCTTTTTAAATAGGCCAACAAACAGAAGGACCAGCCCACTTCAACGATAGCCACATTTTACAGGAACGTAAAAACATATCTAGGCCAATCCCAGTTTGAGCCGAGCTGCACACAGGGTCTGTCCTTTCAGCATCTCTGAGAGAAACACAGACAGCAAACCCGGATTCGGGATATATTTGTCTCTCCACTATAACACAGCAACCGAAAAAAAAAACCCTTGATATTGATAAAAGGAAAACATTTCAATCGATTCCAGCAAAAGCATCCACTGTTCTCTTGAAATTACATTCACCGTGCTCCTTTAGTTTTAAACGGCACGTATCATTTCCAGTACAAGTTAATTACAGCGAATAGATAAGACATAATCGGCCTACTTACCATCAATCGCCATGATGTTCTGTTCGGCTCCCACCAAAGCCGCCAGTGATGGGGGGGGGGGGGGGGGGGGGGGGGGGCGGGGATTTGCAATGATAGATGGAGGGGCGTCCACAGTGTGGTACAGTCCATAAGGCACTATCGAGTCTGTCTGCTGCTTGAATATCTATTCAACTGTATCTGTTTGGTTGTTTCATATGTGGTATAGCCGTTCTATTTCATGAAATAAAAGATAAAAAAATATGCAAGAAAAATGCATAATGTACCATTGAATGCTCAACGTTAATATTCAAATAGAATAACGGTGTATTTTAGTGCAACCAACACCGCAGGGAAAGGAAATGTATTTATTTATATAGAAGTTGTGCATTTATCATTTATTTATCAGGATAAACCCACTGAGATAAAGGCTACCATCCCATTTCAGTGGGGGTCCCAACATTTTCTAGATGCTAATGGTGCAATTTTACATACGACTGAAAAAAAGTCTTCATGGTTCAAAGTCAAAAGTCATCTTCATTGTCCATTTTTTCCAAAGGTGCTGGACATCGAGAAAAATCGGAAAGAAAAAGTTGATCTGAACCACGGTGCAAGCTACGTATGTATACAATTTTTTAAAAAATAATACAAAAATAGCAATTATAAGGATAAAAAAACAGATATACAAAACAAGAAGATAATGTGCAAAAGATGTGCATTCAAACAGCAACAACAAATGTGCATGGACATGAAATTAACAAATAAATAAATATAAGGCATTTACTAAGTCCTTTTGTCTTTTTAATTAAAATGACTGATGCTTCTGTGTTGCTGATGAGGGGTTATTAAGTGTTATAAAGTGATAGCAGTTGGTTGGGGGGGTAGAGAGAGACAGTGAGAGAGAGAGAGGACAGAGAGAGTACGAGAGATAGATGCTCCAGGAAGAAGAGCAGAAGGGCAGGCATTTTTTCTCTCTTTAACCACCAATAAAAAGAAACAAGCTACTGCTAAAATGTGGTAGAAAGGATGATGTAGTTGTAGATGTAGATGTTTATCTAGGCGGAGGTGTGGTCTGTCCAGTTATTTAAATGTCATCAGTAAACACCCTGATGGTCTGTGTCAGTGTGGAAATGAGGAAACAGTCCGTCATGTTGTCTTTGTGTTACATATAGGAATGAAAAAAGATAGTTATTGAGAGAGAGGACAGAGAGAGTACAGAGATAAATGCTCCAGGATGGGTGGTAGAGGTTCAACAGAGACAGTTGGTGGATGAATGTTCAGTCAGAGTCTGGTGGAGGCTGGGCGGTGCAGTTCCTGTACCACATAGTAATGCAGCTGGTCAGGACGCTGTAGATGGAGCACATGATGTGTTCTTGTCCAGAAGAGGTCCTCACTGATGGGCAGAAATGTAGTGCCACTCTCTCCACAGCAGAGCCGCTGATGGTGAGGGGTGGGCGCTGCGTGTGGCCCTTCCCGAAGTCGACAACACTCTCTTTGCGTTTGCCCACATTAAGCAGGAGATGGTTGTCTCTGCACCACATTGTCAGATGGCTGATTGTCTCATCATTGTTAGAAATGAGACCCACTTCAGTTGTTTTATCCACAAACTTTACAATATGGAGCTGAAGGTTGCTGTGCAGTCATGGGTCAGCAGGGGGCAGAGCAGGGGACTGAACACACATCCTTTGTGGGGCCCCTGTGCTTAGTGTGACGCTGCTCTAGATGTTGTCGCCAACCCGTACTGCTTGTGGTCTCTCACTAAGGAAGTCCAGCAACCAATTACAGAGGGATGTGTTGAGGCCAGGCCGGTCCATTTTCCAGAGCAGATGTTGTGGTAAGATGGTGTTGAATGCTGAGCTGAATTCTATGAACAGCATTCTGACATAAGAAAAAAACTGCATGAATATTAACAGATAATTACAATACTAAAAGTCTTTATATTCCTAAATGCTTCTTATAATGGCACAGATCACATAGGGTATATGTGCTTGATCTTCAAACATATCTGATCATTTGTCTGTGTTTACTTACTTCATATGGTGGGTTGGGGAGGTTCTGACTCGGCGGCTGCCTTGTTGCCATTGAAAGAAGGGTCATCAGCATCTGGTCCTGATAGGATTTAGGAGATCCTCTGCTGCTCACTTCAGGTTGAGAATTCAGAGTGTTGAGTTTTTATAGGCTACCAGGTCATTCAGTGATTGAGGGGAATGACATCTCTGACAAACTTTCAAAGAAGTCTCTCTTCAAACACTGTATTGAGATGAATAGTATTTGTAAAGAAAAGTTAGAGTGTCAGTGCAGAGAGAATGGGATGAAGAGCGGCAGGGCAGGCATTTTTTCTCTCTGCAACCAAAAATAGAGGCTTCTGCTAAAATGTTGTAGAAAGGATGATGAGGTTTTATCTAGGCTGAGGTTAGGACATAGTGGTATGTTCAGTTATTTAAAGGTCATCAGTAAACACCCTGATGGTCTGTGTCAGTGTGGAAATGAGGAAACAGTCTGTCATGTTGTCTTTGTGTTAAATATAGGAATGAAAGAAGATAGTTATTCAGGGAGTTATCTGACCTGGGACTCTCATCTTTCTCCTTTAACTCTATATTTTCTTTGGATACAAACTTTCAATCTGTTGGGAGAGCAGTTCTAGCCTACACGTTACTGGCCTGTAACATGTAGTACACACTCCTAGACTATGGGGGGCAGCATTGCACTCTACAGTGTACAGCCTGCCGGAAATTGATTAGAGGAAGAAAAATAAAGGAAACGAGGACTGTTTCTACTCTGGCACTACTGTCATTTATTTTCCTCACATCGTAACTAAACGTGGCTCGACCCGGTTTCTTTAAAGAACCGGTTTGTTGGACGAAACCAAGCTGTATACTTCTTCGTCAGATCCTTATCAAAGATCCAGGACGTTTCGTGTGGTGTGGGACAAGTTACATACTGGTAAAATGACACAAAGTGGTGGTTCAGCAACTCCAGTTATATTAGCCTACTTCTTAAACCCTCAATCTAATACGCACAACAGTTATGTCGTGACTCGTGAACTCAAATGAGTTTTTCAGATGTTGAATTCTGTGTCAGACTACGGGGGCCCATAAGTAGGCTATAGGCAATGTTTTCTTCGATAGCTGTAGGTTCCCTTCACTAAAGTAGGTCCGTGTCAGGGGCATAGACTCTATGTTAATATGTTAGTCTCCAACAATGTTGACTTACCACTGAATTTTCCCCACCCATGTTTTTGTACATGTTTGACACTGAATTAAAATAATTGTCATTATTCCTCCGAAAATATTTAACATATGTCATATGTCTTTAATAACGAGAGTTAAATGTTTTCTTTTGGTCAAGTGTCACAGGTTCAAATGTATTCACATGCAGTCAGGATGTGTCGTGAAGCATTTACTGCTCACTGCTCATTAGTGTTACTGAGGAAACCCGTTAACTACACGCCTCAACTTCTTAACATCAAGCTCGCTGCAAAAACACAGCGCAGGTTATTTCTTGGGACTCTCAGTACCAAAATATCACGGAATCGTAACCACAAAGAGGTTAATTCGAATATTTCACACATTAACCGATTTATCTAGATAAAAAATAGCACAGTATTGTGATACATTTTAAACAAATCACAACCTCTATGGTCAATCATGTAAACAGTTTGACATTTTCTAAAACTATTTTCTGAGCCTGCAGTCATGGAATTGAAAATGGCATGTCTGAAATGGACCAACTGACAAAAAACTATATCTTCTAACTGTGCTTAAAATGTAATATTTATCTCCATATGCTGAATGTTTTGAAACATTTCTTGATGAACATACAAATCTTTCTTAATGTCTAATTCGTCAAATGATTCAGTGCCAAATATTTTGAAGGAACCTATTATTTGTATCAGCATCTGTAGACAGTCAACAGTTGACTGTCATATCAAATACTGATGGTACAGTAGTTAATGACCAAGCCCTGTAAATCATCTTTATCTCCGCAATGGTGCCGCTCAGTTGGGATGACGTTTACATTTTACTCGTCTAACATTTTGTTTTTTTGCCATTTTAGCAAAGTAATGGGCACCACGGCGAAGCAATTTCACCTCAACACACCACTGGTTGAAAGTGTCTGCATGTCCAAACTAGTAGGAACAACTGTGTACTTAAAGATGGAAAATTCCCAGCCCTCTGGCTCCTTTAAAATCCGTGGTATTGGACACCTCTGCCAGCAGGTAGGAATCCTGAGTCCATTGCTGGTGCATGGAAACGTTTTTTCTTGTCTGTGGTGTTATTAGCAGTGAACCTTACTTAAGACTGTCATTTCTATTTATTTATTTTTTTTAGTTTTCTGGAGAATTAAAAGGAGTTGTCTGCTCTTCAGGTGACATTCCTTTTTTCAGCAGCTTCTTATGTCTACAAATTCAGAAGCATCAAGTGATTTTTTTTTTAACGTATGTAAACATTTTTTAAGGTGGAAATGCAGGTATGGCTGCAGCCTACGTAGCCCGGAAAATGGGTGTACCAGCCACCATTGTGGTTCCTTCCTCTTCTCCGCAGCTGGTTGTTCAGAGACTCCAGGATCAGGGCGCTACAGTCAAGATTACAGGCAAGGTAAATAATTGTATTAAATATATGTACTGGAGGTGGGTGGAAAAGATGGATACAGCATAGTATTGCTGTACTGCCCTTTCTGCACGTTCCAATGTACAGGATTTGACAGCCAGATAACACTCACACAAAAGTCCTCCAATAAAAACACAAGGCTTGTCTTTTCTTAATTTTACTTGAGTTACTTTCGGTTTTTTCTTTTTTTGTAAAACTGCAATATTACAAAGAGAATAACAATATTTCAGTACAGATAACAAGTTTACATTTACAAAGTATAAGCATTGCTATCTAAATTCAAGCAAGCAAAGAAATGCATAAAAATGCTAATTCAACACAAAGCTACAAGCTATCATAACCATGAGGAAAACAGTTAGCATTAGCTAAGAGCACATGAAAGACAAAAACAACTAAAAGTTTCTGACTTGAATTTTATGTTAATATCGCAACATTTTTATAATGAACTGAACATGAAACTTACAGACAAATGGTCTCCAAGGCAAAAGTGTAGCAGAAAACCATTCAGCAGCAACATGCATCCTCTGTCTCTCTCTGTCCTTCTGACTGCTTCACTGCAGCATGTGACTTAATGAACTAACTACCCACAATGACCAATAGATGGCAGTATTAACCATGAACTAATGTAAAAATAAAATGTTTTTAATCTTTTAAATCTAACTTATTATGACCACTCATTTTAACATTTTTAACTTAATTGAAATTACTGACTTCAAAATAAAGGCAGCACAATCACGATATTTTGTGTGCCGATATTTTATCGTCTCATGGATATTTTTAATATGATAGTTTAGATTTTTTAATTTTTAACTGCTGAAGGTTTTGTGCAATTCATTTTGAGCAAGTTGCACTGCAAGTCAATGTGAGGACTGGGGTTGGTTCATGTGAGTGCTGCAAATAGAATGAATGGGAGAGAAGGTGTGGAAAGGCGGGAACGGTTAATGGATAGAGTCGGTTTTGGGGAAAATTTTTAGTCTACTAGTTATGTCATAGGCCTAGCGTTGATGTATTGTCAGGTCTAATATGTGTCGTTTACATGCACAAAAGTGTGCAGATCAGTCCGGCACACTTAAAGATTTGCCGCTGTAAAAACAGAATCTTCAGTCATAAAGCCTTTATCGTTAAGAGAAGTCTTGATTAGTTGAATTTAAGCTTTTGAATGAATACACATTTTAATTTGCCCTATGGAGAAGGGTATACATTCATTTAATTTCCCCTAATGTGGAGAAGAGAATAAATAAATACTTTCATTTGCCTTAATGTGGAGAAGAGTATAAATAAATACTTTAATTTGCCCTAATGTGGAGAAGAGTATAAATAAATACTTTAATTTGCCTTAATGTGGAGAAGAGTATAAATAAATACTTTAATTTGCCCTAATGTGGAGAAGAGAATAAATACATTAATTTGCCCTAATGTGGAGAAGAGTATAAATAAATTTAATTTGTCTTAATGTGGAGAAGAGAATGAATAAATACTTTAATTTGCCCTAATTTGGAGAAGAGTATAAATAATACTTTAATTTGCCTTAATGTGGAGAAGAGTATAAATAAATACTTTAATTTGCCCTAATGTGGAGAAGAGTATAAATACATTTAATTTGCCTTAATGTGTAGAAGAGAATAAATACTTTAATTTGCCTTAATGTGGAGAAGAGAATAAATAAATACTTTAATTTGCCCTAAGGTGGAGAAGAGAATAAATACATTAATTTGCCCTAATGTGGAGAAGAGTATAAATACTTTAATTTGCCCTAATGTGGAGAAGAGAATAAATAAATACTTTAATTTGCCCTAATGTGGAGAAGAGTATGAATAAATTTAATTTGCCTTAATTTGGAGAAGAGAATAAATAGATACTTTAATTTGCCTTAATGTGGAGAAGAGAATAAATACATTTAATTTGCCCTAATGTGGAGAAGAGTATAAATAAATACTTTAATTTGCCTTAATGTGGAGAAGAGTATAAATAAATACTTTAATTTGCCCTAATGTGGAGAAGAGTATAAATAAATACTTTAATTTGCCTTAATGTGGAGAAGAGTATAAATAAATACTTTAATTTGCCTTAATTTGGAGAAGAGTATAAATAAATACTTTAATTTGCCTTAATGTGGAGAAGAGTATAAATAAATACTTTAATTTGCCCTAATGTGGAGAAGAGTATAAATAAATACTTTAATTTGCCTTAATGTGGAGAAGAGTATAAATAAATACTTTAATTTGCCTTAATGTGGAGAAGAGTATAAATAAATACTTTAATTTGCCTTAATTCGGAGAAGAGTATAAATAAATACTTTAATTTGCCCTAATGTGGAGAAGAGTATAAATAAATACTTTAATTTGCCTTAATGTGGAGAAGAGAATAAATACATTTAATTTCCCCTAATGTGGAGAAGAGAATAAATAAATACTTTAATTTGCCTTAATGTGGAGAAGAGTATAAATAAATACTTTAATTTGCCCTAATGTGGAGAAGACTATAAATAAATACTTTAATTTGCCTTAATGTGGAGAAGAGTATAGATACATTTAATTTGCCTTAATGTGGAGAAGAGAATAAATAAATACTTTAATTTGCCTTAATGTGGAGAAGAGTATAAATAAATACTTTAATTTGCCTTAATGTGGAGAAGAGTATAAATAAATACTTTAATTTGCCCTAATGTGGAGAAGAGTATAAATAAATACTTTAATTTGCCCTAATTTGGAGAAGAGTATAAATAAATTTAATTTGCCCTAATGTGGAGAAGAGTATAAATAAATACTTTAATTTGCCTTAATGTGGAGAGGAGTATAAATAAATTTAATTTGCCTTAATTTGGAGAAGAGAATAAATTGATACTTTAATTTGCCTTAATGTGGAGAAGACAATAAATACATTTAATTTGCCTTAATGTGGAGAAGAGTATAAATAAATACTTTAATTTGCCCTAATGTGGAGAAGAGTATAAATAAATACTTTAATTTGCCTTAATGTGGAGAAGAGTATAAATGAATACTTTAATTTTCCCTAATGTGGAGAAGAGAATGAATACATTAATTTGCCCTAATGTGGAGAAGAGTATAAATAAATACTTTAATTTGCCCTAATGTGGAGAAGAGTATAAATAAATACTTTAATTTGCCCTAATGTGGAGAAGAGAATGAATAATTTAATTTGCCATAACGTGGAGAAGAGTATAAATAAATTTAATTTGCCTTAATGTGGAGAAGAGAATAAATACTTTAATTTGCCCTAATGTGGAGAAGAGTATAAATACATTTAATTTGCCTTAATTTGGAGAAGAGAATAAATAAATACTTTAATTTGCCTTAATGTGGAGAAGAGAATAAATACATTTAATTTGCCCTAATGTGGAGAAGAGTATAAATAAATACTTTAATTTGCCTTAATGTGGAGAAGAGTATAAATAAATACTTTAATTTGCCCTAATGTGGAGAAGAGTATAAATAAATACTTTAATTTGCCTTAATGTGGAGAAGAGTATAAATAAATACTTTAATTTGCCTTAATTTGGAGAAGAGTATAAATAAATACTTTAATTTGCCTTAATGTGGAGAAGAGTATAAATAAATACTTTAATTTGCCCTAATGTGGAGAAGAGTATAAATAAATACTTTAATTTGCCTTAATGTGGAGAAGAGTATAAATAAATACTTTAATTTGCCCTAATGTGGAGAAGAGTATAAATAAATACTTTAATTTGCCTTAATGTGGAGAAGAGAATAAATAAATTTAATTTGCCCTAATGTGGAGAAGAGTATAAATAAATACTTTAATTTGCCTTAATGTGGAGAAGAGAATAAATAAATTTAATTTGCCCTAATGTGGAGAAGAGTATAAATAAATACTTTAATTTGCCCTAATGTGGAGAAGAGTATAAATAAATACTTTAATTTGCCTTAATGTGGAGAAGAGAATAAATAAATTTAATTTGCCTTAATGTGGAGAAGAGTATAAATAAATTTAATTTGCCCTAATGTGGAGAAGAGTATAAATAAATACTTTAATTTGCCTTAATGTGGAGAGGAGTTTAAATAAATACATTAATTTGCCTTAATGTGGAGAAGAGAATAAATAAATACATTAATTTGCCTTAATGTGGAGAAGAGTATAAATAAATACTTTAATTTGCCTTAATGTGGAGAAGAGAATAAATAAATACATTAATTTGCCTTAATGTGGAGAAGAGAATAAATAAATACTTTAATTTGCCTTTAGACTATGTGGAGAAGAGATAAAGTAAATATATGAATTTGCCTTGAAGTGTAGAAGAGAAAAAATGAATAAGGAAAATGTGTTTTCTGTTGTATTGAACCTGTCCCCTCGTACTCTTATTCAAATAGCTTTAAAATAGAGGGGTCAGAAAAGAATGGTAGGGCTGTCACTGATAGATCTGAGTAAGTTTGCTTTAGTTTTTTTTTTTGGAAGGCGACTAATTGTACGCCTTAACAACCATAAGACAATAACATGGTTGATGACATTCAGACTTTTGGAGCTGACAAGCTTTTTCTTCATTTTTTCATTTTTTTATTTTGTTGGATTAACTTTACTTTATATATGTAGGTTTTGTTTTTCGCCCCTTACCAGAACCTTTCCTTCCCCTCTCCACACCTGTACTGTACACTCTACCATTTGTCAGCTGCTTCATGAGTGATTTAAATATAATATCATTGAATGTAAATGGCCTGAATAATATAGTTAAGAGGAAGATGGAGAGAGATAAAGGGGATTTTGTTTTCCTACAGGAAACTCATCTTAGAAGACAGGAACATGAGAAATTAAAGAAAACAACTAATAGTCAGGTATACGAAGAGGAGTAGCTATCATTAAATCACATGTAGGTTTTGAAAAGGCAAACTGCACTACAGATAAAGAAGGCAGATATGTGTTGGTAGTGGGGAAAATTGAGAGTGTAGATTTTTCTTTTCTGAACGTTTACTATCCTCCAGATACAGGACCAGAGCTTATGAGTAAGGTAATAGATTTACTAATGACAAAGAGTAAGGGTGTAGGTATATTGGGAGGAGATCTTAAGATGATAATGAATACAAAGCTAGATTCCTCCAACGAAAAAAAGTCACAGAGCAGAGAAAACTGCAAGTGTCCTGAGGAGAGCTAAAGATGTTGGCCTTTAAACCTAAAAGACAAATAGAAAAAGGGAGTATAACGAAATTAACTACAGCTCAATCACAAATAATAACGGATAAAGAAGATATGGCAGAGGAGTTATTATTATGAATCTTTATATAAAAATGAAGTACAAGTAGATAGTGACCAAATTAAGAAATATTTGAGTAACATAAAACTACCAAGAGTACAACAGGAAAAAGCCAAGCTCTAAAAGATGAATATGAAATCAAATGGGACACAAAGAAAATAAAATATCTGGGCAAACATATTTGCAAGTTGTTAAAAGTAAATAGTGAATGTGTGTATTTCAGAGAAATCAGACCCTGATTTTAGGCCGGATAGCATACTAAACAGCTGGGCGATTAAGGGACTAACAACATACTCTCAATTAATCACAAAAAATACAATAGATTAATTTTAAATGAAAGCTTCAAAATACGAGTTGGATCAGAAATATTTTTTTAAGTATTTACAAGTGAGAAGTTATCTTTCAAAACATATACAGGATGATACATTAACAAATGAGTTTGTGCAGCAGTTGTTCCAAAATAAAAAAATATATAGCTGAAGGAAAGCTTTCAAATATATATAAAATATTGCAAAAGCACACCATTGTAGATACTAATATAAAAGAAAGATGGGAAAAAGATCGAGAAATCAATACCACAGCAGAAGACTGGAAGGACAGCTTGAGTAGAAACTTAAGAATAACGGCATCAAAATACTGGAGGGAGTTTGGTTGGAAAGTAAGCATGAAATGTTTTATCACACCATGCCAACACAGTAAATATTCCCCTCTAGCAGGTTCAGACTGTTGGAGAGGCAAACTATGCACATATTTTCTTTAAATGTTTTATTATCATTTTGGGAAGAGGTAAAGAAAGTTTTTATGTTAATCTTTGAGTTAAATACACACCTAGAGAGAGAAAATGATTTGGGCATTAACTTACCGGAGGTAATCAAAGCTGCTGATATTCCTCTTTTTAATATTTTGCGAGTGACGGCCATGAAGTAGATAACAAGAACATGGAAACAACAACATCCACCTAGACTTAAGTCATGGTCTTTAACAATTGAACAAACTTTACACAGCGAAGAATGTACAAGACCTACATAAAATATACAAGATGAATCAAAAAAAAAAAAATTGATGGCCTGTACAGGTAGATGACATCAAAAGATCAGTAGATGGGCAACACCCCCCACCCCCTCTTTGTTTTGTTTTTTATCTAAAAAAATAAAATAAAATAAAAAATGTTGCAATGCATTCTGAAGTCACTGTTGTGAATGAAAACTGTAAACGAACATTGCAATAAAGTGAAAAAAAAAGTTGCATTGTTAAGAATTGATGTTAAAGTTGAATTAGACTGAAATAGCAACAGTTCTTTCTGTGAGGTGCATGCAGCCTTTGCAGGGCTTGACTTTGATCACAGTGTTGGTCCGTCTGTGGGCTGGACTCACATTGTGTAGAAATATAAAGTGACATGAATAGACTGAGAATGTTTTCTTATTTGACTGAACAGTTCTTGATTTAGTTTAGTGTAGTGGACATAATATGCAGTTAAAGGTGATTCCCACCTCTAGTATGTAATTTGTCTATTTGTAACATGGAAACAAGTCTAAGGAAAAAGGCACTGAGAGATGCCAGTCCATAAGAGTGTTCAGTACTTAGATTAAAAATAAATTATTTTTATATAATAATCATTAATGATAATTGTTGACTTTGATTATGATATTTTTTAATAAAGCTGTTGATGTTATGGATTACTTTACACACTGTGCATTGCTGATTTGCACTGCCTGTCAGCACCCGTGTGTGATGGCACTGATGTTGTGCTGACCTTTCTCAGTCTATGCTTGTGTGGTACTAACTCTCGAATGTGACGCCTTGGACAAAGGAGTCTGCTAAATGAAAGTGTAGAGCTGTTTAGCTGAGAAAGCCAAATAAAATCTTCTTCTTCCTAGGTTTGGGATGATGCCAATGCAGAGGCACTAAGGCTGGCTAAAACTGAAGAATTAACTTACGTTCCTCCATTTGATCATCCTCTGCTCTGGTAGAAAATTCATTCAGCTTTAAGTTTCCAGTTTCCTACCATGCAATGTTAATGAATAACAAAAACTAGCCAGCAATATACAATTGTTAACATGAACTCTCTTTCTGGATATCCTTACTTTGAACAAAATCCCAGGCAGGGCCACGCCAGTATGATCACAGAGGTTGCTGCCTCTCTTGGTCCGAATATGAAGCCTGGAGCTGTGCTTGTATCTGTGGGGGGAGGCGGCCTTCTCTGTGGAGTGATCCAGGGACTGAAGGATGTAGGTTGGACAGATGTGCCAATCATCGCCATGGAAACTGAGGGGGCAGACTGTTTCAATGCTGCAGTGAAGGCGGGGAGGGTTATCACTCTGGATGACATCACTAGGTTAGTGGTTAACAGAGTTCATAGGTTTTCTTTAGTGATGAATAAAACACTTTATCCTCATGTGTCTCTCCACAGTGAAGCTAAATGTCTTGGAGCAAGAACTGTTTGCAAGAAGGCTTTTGAATACAGCCAATGCAGTGACTTTACAATCATTTCAGAGCTTGTAACTGACCAACAGGCTCTTCTGGCTGTCGAAACATTCCTAGGTTAGTGATTCAAAATGATAGCACAAGCCTGTAGAGTGAACCTAGCTTAAAGTTGTTGTTTGCCTCATGTTGTAGATGAGGAGCGTGTGTTGGTGGAGATGGCCTGTGGAGCAGCACTGGCAGCTGTCTACAGTGGACTTATTCAAAGACTACAGGGTGAAGGTAACTACTCCTGAGCCATCATCACCTTGAAACATGTTCAACCCAATATGTGTTGATTGAAAAACTACATTCTGTAAAATCAGTCTATTTCTTTAGAACCACTTGTTTTGTGCATCTTTGTTGTTTGGACAGTATTTGAGACGTGTTGTAGACACATCACAACATAACTCACATGACACATTTTCTGGTTGACAATTCAGCGTATACAAGTTTGAATTGGTCTTTTATTACATTACATTTATATTCCTATGCATTTATAGTAGTAGACATTTTCACCATTTCTTAAGGAATTGTTAAACAATTATATTTATGTGTAAACCTACTGTACAATTACTCTTCTGATAAGGATATAATTTCTGTTGCGCCTTTCCTTTTTAGGTCTAAATACTTAGAAAGATGTTCAGGGGGCAATGTTATGAATGTTTTTCCATTAGGCAAGAACAGTAGGTGAACCTTTATCTGTGGGGAAGGTAAGGCCAGGGACTTAAGAGCACTTTAACACATAAAGAAGTGCAGAGTAGAAAACACAAGATTTCAAATTTGAGGTTATTTATATATCATTTATTTTGGCTTAAAGGTCCCATATTATGCTTTTTCTGGTTTTGTATGCTCTTTAGTGTGTTTTCCATGTGTCCTGTGCATGTTTAGGCACATCTATTTGCAAAAATTCAAAGTCCGTGGAAACGCGGCTTCTCCCTATGTCCGCCTGCATTAGCATTAGCATTAGCCGCATGTAACGCTCGGTTCTAGCCCCCCTCGATAAAAATTTGTCAGTCCGACGTCATTGTCAGTGTGAGATCACTGATCTAAGCCCATTGGCTCGTTGTGGCAAGCCCAGCAGCTCATGTTGCACGCCCGTTAACTTCTGTAGCACTCCCACGATATGCCGTAGCCTGCGGTAGCACAGTAGTGCTAAGGTGCTAATGTTTATGCTACCCTTGGACAGAGCCAGTGGCTGCATTCCAAATATGGTAAAAGAGGCGGGACATTTCCGAGAAGCGTGTTGAGCAACTGACCAATAACGACAGAGCGGATCGGCAGACCAATCAGAGCAGACTTGGCCCACATGGGGCTCTGCAGTGGGGGCTCAGCAGAGCGTAGCTGACAGACTCAGAGCGTAGAGGGAGCAAGGAGGAGCAGTACATGAAAACAGACACTTTTTTCGGACTTTAGCTGTTGTGAACATACAAAAGTAGGAACATAGATTAAATATAAGAACCCTAAAAAGGGCATAATATGGGCTCTTTAATGTCCTATTTCTTTATGTATTTTGGTTATTTTCATATTTAATCTTCTCTGTGATTGCTAATAGTTTGTTTGAGGGATTTTTTTAAATGGATCTTTATCCCTTTGTCATGATGCTTTTGATGTATTGTGTAAAGCAATTGTCTTGTTGCTTAAATGTGCTATATAAATATGTTTACCTGACCTTGCCTTTTTTAGGTAGGCTTCCAACTCCCTTGGGCCCCCTGCTGGTGATAGTGTGCGGTGGCAGCAGTATTGACATGAAGCAACTCACCCACTTAAAGCGCAAACTGCAGATTTAAACTACTGTATTTGTGCAAATGTGTGTGTACAACATTGTTTCATGCTTTTTCTTTAAAATTTAATATTTTAAAGTATCAAAAACAAATACATTTTCTTTGAAAACCAAAAATGCATTTATTCATGCACACCAAACTAACAGAATGCATTTACTGGGCTTCCCCTATGTTGCAGTTCACCTTTAAGAAATACATGGATCATTAACACAGAGTCTTGGGCTGCTTGAAATTCCCTTAATTTACCTGCTTTGTCTGTCCTGAACACTTTTCCTTAACCCCATTGTGAAATGTTATGAAGTAAAAGAATTGTGTGGTGGAAGATGTATGCACATTGTGGTACTCAGGAATTCTGACTGCACTTACACTGGTCGGTTGTTACTAATCTTGTGTGTCTGCTGTATAAAAACTGCAATCTACTGCTGATGGATTACATATGGTGTACATATATAAGCCAACTTTTTTCTGACCTTAATTAATGCAAAAAAAATGGCCAATTGGGTAAGAAATATGACCTCATTAAGATGCTACAGTGTATGAACCAGAGAGCACCTCAGGACGAGATATTGGAACACTTGGCAGAGTTCAGAAACCTACACACTCATGTATATGTAATATACCTACACACTTGTACATGTAATATACCTACACACTCATGTATATATACCTACACACTCGTATATGTAATATACCTACACACTCATGTATATGTACCTACACACTCGTATATATACCTACACACTCATGTATATGTAATATACCTACACACTTATGTATATGTAATATACCACATACTCATATATATATATATATACCTACACACTCATGTACATGTAATATACCGACACACTCATGTATATGTAATATACCACATACTCATGTATATATACCTACACACTCATATGTAATATACCTACACACTATTGTATGTGTAATATACCTATAGGTATATGAGTGTGTAGGTATATATATATGAGTGTGTATACACACTCGTATATGTACCTACACACTCATGTATATGTACCTACACACTCATGTATATATACCTACATACTCATGTATATGTAATATACCTACACACTCATGTATATGTACCTCCACACTCATGTATATGTAATATAGCTACACACTCATGTATATGTACCTACACACTCATGCGTATGTAATATACCTACACACTCATGTATATATACTTACAAACTTATGTATATGTATCTACACACTCATGTATATGTAATTACACACGTGTATATGTACCTACACACTCATGAATATGTAATATACCTACACACTCATGTATATGTATCTACACACTCGTATATGTAATATACCTACACACTCATGTACATGTAATATACCTACACACTCATGTATATGTACCTACACACTCGTATATATACCTACACACTTATGTATATGTAATATACCACATACTCATGTATATATACCTACACACTCATGTACATGTAATATACCGACACACTCGTGTATATATACCAACACATTCATGTATATGTAATATACCTACACACTTATGTATATGTAATATACCACATACTCATGTATATATACCTACACACTCATGTACATGTAATATACCGACACACTCGTATATATACCTACACACTCATGTATATGTAATATACATGAGTGTGTAGGTATATATATATATGAGTGTGTACACTCATGTATATGTACCTACACACTCATATGTAATATACCTACACACTATTGTATATGTAATATACCTATAGGTATATGAGTGTGTAGGTACATATACATGAGTGTGTATACACACACTCATGTATATGTACCTACACACTCATGTATATGTAATATACCTAAACACTCATGTACATGTAATATACCTACACACTCATGTATATATACCTACACACTCATGTATATGTACCTACACACTTATGTATATGTAATTACACACTCGTATATATACCTACACACTCATGAATATGTATCTACACACTCGTATATGTAATATACCTACACACTCATGTACATGTAATATACCTACACACTCATGTATATGTACCTACACACTCGTATATGTAATATACCTACACACTCATGTACATGTAATATACCTACACACTCATGTATATGTACCTACACACTCGTATATATACCTACACACTTATGTATATGTAATATACCACATACTCATGTATATATACCTACACACTCATGTACATGTAATATACCGACACACTCGTGTATATATACCAACACACTCATGTATATGTAATATACCTACACACTTATGTATATGTAATATACCACATACTCATGTATATATACCTACACACTCATGTACATGTAATATACCGACACACTCGTGTATATATACCAACACACTCATGTATATGTAATATACCTACACACTTATGTATATGTAATATACCACATACTCATGTATATATACCTACACACTCATGTACATGTAATATAACGACACACTCGTATATATACCTACACACTCATGTATATGTACATGAGTGTGTAGGTATATATATATGAGTGTGTATACACACTCATGTATATGTACCTACACACTCATATGTAATATACCTACACACTCACACTATTGTATATGTAATATACCTATAGGTATATGAGTGTGTAGGTACATATACATGAGTGTGTATACACACACTCACGTATATGTACCTACACACTCATGTATATGTAATATACCACATACTCGTGTATATGTACCTCCACACTCATGTATATGTAAAATACCTAAACACTCGTGTATATATACCTACACACTCATGTATATGTATCTACGCACTCATATGTAATATACCTACACACTCGTGTATATGTAATATACCTACACACTATTGTATATGTAATATACCTATAGGTATATGAGTGTGTAGGTATATATATATGAGTGTGTGTACACACTCGTGTATATGTACCTACACACTCATGTATATGTACCTACACACTCATGTATATGTAATATACCTACACACTATTGTATATGTAATATACCTATAGGTATATGAGTGTGTAGGTATATATATATGAGTGTGTGTACACACTCGTGTATATGTACCTACACACTCATGTATATGTACCTACACACTCATGTATATGTCATATACCTACACACTCATGTATATGTACCTACACACTCATGCATATGTAATATACCTACACACTCATGTATATGTAATATACCTAACCACTCATGTACATGTAATATACCTACACACTCGTATATATACCTACACACTCATGTATATGTCATATACCTACACACTCATGTATATATACCTACACACTCATGCGTATGTAATATACCTACACACTCATGTATATATACCTACACACTTATGTATATGTAATATACCTACACACTCATGTATATGTACCTACACACTCATGCGTATGTAATATACCTACACACTCATGTATATATACCTACACACTTATGTATATATACCTACACACTCATGTATATGTATCTACACACTCATGTATATGTAATTACACACTCATATATATACCTACACACTCATGAATATGTAATATACCTACACACTCATGTATATGTATCTACACACTCATGTATATGTAATATACCTACACACTCATGTATATGTAATATACCTAACCACTCATGTACATGTAATATACCTACACACTCGTATATATACCTACACACTCATGTATATGTAATATACCTACACACTCATGTATATATACCTACACACTCATGCGTATGTAATATACCTACACACTCATGTATATATACCTACACACTCATGTATATGTAATATACCTACACACTCATGTATATGTACCTACACACTCATGCGTATGTAATATACCTACACACTTATGTATATATACCTACACACTTATGTATATATACCTACACACTCATGTATATGTATCTACACACTCATGTATATGTAATTACACACTCATATATATACCTACACACTCATGAATATGTAATATACCTACACACTCATGTATATGTATCTACACACTCATGTATATGTAATATACCTACACACTCATGTACATGTAATATACCTACATACTCATGTATATGTACCTACACACTCGTATATATACCTACACACTCATGTATATGTAATATACCTACACACTTATGTATATGTAATATACCACATACTCATGTATATATACCTACACACTCATGTACATGTAATATACATGAGTGTGTAGGTATATATATATATATGAGTGTGTATACACACTCATGTATATGTACCTACACACTCATATGTAATATACCTACACACTCGTGTATATGTAATATACCTATAGGTATATGAGTGTGTAGGTACATATACATGAGTGTGTATACACACTCATATATATATATATACCTACACACTCATGTATATGTACCTACACACTCATGTATATATACCCACACACTGCTGTATATGTAATATACCTACACACTCATGTATATGTACCTACACACTCATGCGTATGTAATATACCTACACACTCATGTATATATACCTACACACTTATGTATATATACCTACACACTCATGTATATGTATCTACACACTCATGTATATGTAATTACACACTCATATATATACCTACACACTCATGAATATGTAATATACCTACACACTCATGTATATGTATCTACACACTCATGTATATGTAATATACCTACACACTCATGTACATGTAATATACCTACATACTCATGTATATGTACCTACACACTCGTATATATACCTACACACTCATGTATATGTAATATACCTACACACTTATGTATATGTAATATACCACATACTCATGTATATATACCTACACACTCATGTACATGTAATATACATGAGTGTGTAGGTATATATATATATATGAGTGTGTATACACACTCATGTATATGTACCTACACACTCATATGTAATATACCTACACACTCGTGTATATGTAATATACCTATAGGTATATGAGTGTGTAGGTACATATACATGAGTGTGTATACACACTCATATATATATATATACCTACACACTCATGTATATGTACCTACACACTCATGTATATGTACCTACACACTCATGTATATATACCCACACACTGCTGTATATGTAATATACCTACACACTCATGTATATGTAATATACCTAAACACTCATGTACTTGTAATATACCTACACACTTATGTATATATACCTACACACTCATGTATATGTATCTACACACTCTTGTATATGTAATATACCTACACACTCATGTATATATACCTACACACTCATGTATATGTAATATACCTACACACTCATGTATATGTATCTACACACTTATGTTTATGTAATATACCTACACACTCATGTATATGTACCTACACACTCATGTATATGTAATACACCTACACACTCGTAT